GCTGTTCACGCATTGTCGTAGAAACGCGGCGAACTTTCATAGAAAATACCTTGGTAGATATCCCGATACCATGCCTCGAACACGCTGGCCGCAAAACGGCCTTCAACTCTCGTCGATCCCTTCGAGAAGTCAACACGCACGACCCATCGCGAGTTTCGATAGCCGAGTCGATCGTCGCACCGTCGCGTTCACCCAGATCATTTCACGCAGATCATGACGACGAAATCATTCTTCCCCCCCCCCTCTGCAACGTCACCTGATTTACCTCATCGAGCACTTTGATTTTTCACGGATGCGCCACCGACCGACGCTTCGTTTCATCGTAGCCATTTTTCTTTTGAGTTGCCGCTCCCTACCCTGTTCCTACTTTCTGTTACAGATCTCGGTACCATCTATAGACATCGCGTACGATAGCGAGAGTCATCCAATAACGACGAGGATGTAGCCCGTGTGGCAGGGCTTTTCGACGAGAGAGAGAACCGCACGAATTTCAAGTCAGGACGATGATGATGCGCGCGATACAGGGAAGAGGAATTGACCGAGGGAAGAACAGGTCAGCGTAGAAGAAAGAAGGAGAGATTCCTCCTTGCTTCCTCGCGAGAGAACACGCCGGATGTTATCGCGAGACTGATAAAAACACTGCCAGGAGTAATGACGAGCTAGATTGCCGCTTCGTCCGCTGAACCGTTCCTTGGTCGATCTTGGCTTTCGCTCCTCGCTAACTGCCCCCCTACCTGCCTTCCCCCTACGTGTCGGCCCTGCCTTCGTCACGTACACACACGTACACGCTTATATTAATATATACACACCCGCTCTCTCTCTCCCTCGAGAGATCAAAGACTGAAAATAAAAGGTGGCGACATGTTGGGCGTGAGTCAGCCGGGCAACACGCCCTCGAGCTTACGGCACTCGGCGAGCTTCTCGTGCTTGCAACGCGGCACTGCCGGCGAGGGTCATCGGGCGAGGACCTCGACGTTGCTGCAACAACCGAGTCTACAGCTGAGCAACGGTCATCATCAGTACACGTCCAGCGGCCAGGCGGCGGCGGCTGCGGCCGCGGCAGCGGCCGCGCATTGCTCCCTCCTGCAGCATCATCAGCAACAGTCCCGCGAACCGTTTGATCCCGTCCTTCAGGACGGCAACGATTACGGCTTCGTGAGGATCCGGCCGCGGTTGCGCAGCACGAATGCGACCTTGTATCACGAGGAAGAAGTGGCGGCCGCGAAGAACGCCCTGAGGGAACAGCGTGACGCCGCCGCGTTCAGCGACCGCGAGTGCGACTCCAACTTCAGGGACTGCCCGTTGAAAGTCAAGGACCACCGCGATCTCTCACCGAAGGGAACTGCCAAGAATCAGAATCCATTACGGGGCGCGTTGATTCTCTTCACCTCGACGTCGTCCTGGTGGAAGGCCCGACAACGGGAGGAGCAACTGAATGCAACCGGCGGTGCCACTGCCGCTATCAGCGCACCGTCGTCAGAACTACGGAAATGGCCAGGCACTTCGATGGCGTCACCCTCGAACGGGAGAAAGTGGCCGACCTCGATGACGTCCCCCACGAACGATCGGAAGTGGCCCGTGGGTAACAGCCTGCTAACGTCGCCGTCGAACGAGAGGAAGTGGAACAGATCCTCGGTTTCGTCTACATCGACGAACCAACAGGATCGGAAGTGGCGGTCCCTCGGCGCACTTTTAAGGACTCCCGTCGGCACCAGCGGTAGCTCTCACATCAGTCAGAACTCCCTATCGCACAACATGAGCGTGTCCATGATCGAGGGCGATCACTTCCGCGAGGAATCGCGCGGTTCGAGCTGCAAGGCGCGCTATCAACAGCCGACGTCCTACTCGGCGCGGGTGTCCCGTGTCAGTAGAGACGTTTATCGGGAGAACGGGGAGTTTGGTCAAATTGCTGGCAGGTCAAAGGTCAGCCGCAGGTTGTACCAAGATAGCGAGCCGGCAAACGAGCTCGACGAGAGACACGTCCCGCAGCGCAACCGACATCAGCTGGATGACCCCGAACAATGCAGGAGCACTCGAGAGGGACGCGAGCACGGCAGAGCCACGGAACAGAGCGCCATGGAGACCCGCGGCACGACCTCCACTACACGATCGAGTCGCGCGCAGAGCTTTTATCTTCTGGACGATTTTCTGCGGCCGCAGCCCCAGCAGCCGAGCAACAAGTGCATGCTGAATCTATACATATCCCCGTCGTACCCCGTCAAGTGCGAGCACGGCAGGTCGTGCGAGGTCAGGCAGGCGACCTGCCAGCAGGCGAACGTCGGCAGCAATATCACGCCGCCGCGACGCCACAACTCGAGCTCGGACAGCCTCGAAGTGGCCACCAGTCCGCTGCCGCCGCCGGTGCCGCCGCCGCCGCCGCATCAGGCCGCATCAGGTAACGCGCGGGACCGCGAACGGAATGAGAACCCGAAGGAGGCGAGTAAGGACGTGTGCCCGTGCAAACTGTGCTGGACCAATATGCAGAGATCCTTTGTGGAAGAGGTAAGTGAAGTCCCCCTCGAGGGGTGCGCCGGACAATAATTGAGTCGTTCGTCACGCCGCGTACTCCACGCTCGGAGATCCGCGGGAGATTCCGCTTGAGAAATGGGGCTATGATTAAGGGACTTTGACAAAGGATCGCGCCGGACGGAGGTCGCCGTCCCCGTCTGGTCGATTTCATGTATACGGGCATACAGGGCGTCTCCGAACAATTTCGTTTATACGCTTTTCACACATATACTTATTCTTAACTAAAGTAATAAAATCAAGATTTTAATGGTCAGTTTTAATCATCGTTTAACAAGAGATCATTGAATTCTATATACATTCTGTTAGATATAGGTAGTTCTTATTTTAGAACTTTAAAAGCATTTGCTGATACAATGTCTATGGAAGACATATTATCGGTATGTAAAGCTAAATATGTATATTATATATACGCACAAATTTTGCTTACGACTTTTTCGTGCAATTTAGAGCCGATTTTCTCTCGAAAATGCCGATATATACAGTGGTTTTTTAATTGTAGACACGAACAAGCAATAAGATCTTATTCCTTGTGTAATTTCAAACAAATCCGACTTTAATAGGGCTTCAATTTGCGGCTTAATGTCGTTGAGATATCTAACGTTAAAGATTATAAAGTAATGGAAATACTTGTTCGGCTGCGGCGTCCGCTACGGCGGAATCCCCCCCGAAAGAAATCGATACGTCTGAAAGAGAAACCGAATAAGCGACACGGCATTTCGCCTGGACGGGGAATTGGTCGGCTCGTCGGGTTTTATCGTAATCGTTATCCGTGATGTTTATGTCGCGGCGAGTAACTTTCACCCCGGCGTGCGCCACGACTCCGCGATCGCACGAAGATAGACGTCCGGCCGCGAAAAGGTGCTTGCGGCCCGGCAGTCGGAAAAGTCTTCCCCGAAGAGAGAAAGAAGGAGGATCCTCGATTATCCTCGACTGTCCGGTCATCCGTCGACGTATTTCTCCGCGAATAACTTGCCATTAACTCGCCTTTAACCCGTTCCGTGCCGTTTGCCGCGCCGAGAGCGAGCTATCCTAACGCCTCTGTCAGGATCCCGCTTTACGACCGTTTGCGCGATCGGTAGCGCGCGATCCGATAGGGAGTATAGAGACGACGACGGAATCCTCGGCTTCGTGGAACCCGCCGCAATTAGAGACGAGTCGACGAAGAGTTTAACATCGAGCGGTGAGTTCGTAAAGTAGCGCCTTATCTGTCTTGCGTAAATTAATTTTCATGATCTTAAGGCAAGACTCGCATAGCCTCCGTGCTATTAATACGTATATAATTTATTACATTGAATTATCTGTCGGACGCGAATTTTTTTTTTAATTAAATTTAGAGTCTTAACGGGATATTGATAAGAGATCGGTTATCACAATTATTAATTTTGAATATTACCTACTATATTCATTGTTGAACTTTTGACCGACAAAATCGAAACGCATAGGGATTCGCGAAGTGGCGTCGAAGATGAAGATCGCGATGTCTTGCGCGATAAACGGTCGGGAGATTCAATCGAGCTCTTATCTTGCGTGAAAGGCAACGCGATTACATTAATCAGCAATCGTTGAAGAATTCAAATCGCGTATTATATGCGGTGACAAGTGGAATAGATGAATATAGAAACGACAGAACGCGCATTTGTCTTCGATATCATCTTACGATCGCGTGATTATTGCGAATAATCAGGGGCATTTCGAACTTGATACAAATCATACGATAAACATAGTATATGAAATTAAATCGTGCTGCATTAAAATTATACAATCGCAAGCCAGATCACTGTGCACTGCTTCATAAGTTCACAGTATTAAATATCTTGATGATTAAGCCGCAGATCGAAGTTTCATTTATTCATTTTTATTTATTTGGAATTAAACGCAGAATAAGATTTTATTACTTATTCGCTTTAGTGAAAAGAAATGCAGTTATACAAAATGCAATTCTGTAAGGTCTCTAATTTAGTCGAGCTAGAATATACGGTAATGCTAGTAATCTCGAAATGCGCGACATTCTATGTACTGATCGAGTTCATCGACATGTGGCCCTTCTGTGCGTAATCGATAGTGTAAAGTCCCCCAGGAATAGAACCGTAATGCGGATCACAACACCGTTCGCAAACCTACAACCGGTATCGATCCTTTGACCCGAGAAACGCCTCACCCAGCGAAGAGCCGCGTTTGTCTATTTGCTCGATCGAATCCGAGCAAATATACGGCGAAGCTACGCACTCGTGCGTATGCGGAAGAGTAAAAGGAAAAAAATTCACATACATGCATATTTTCAAGAACATGTCTATGGCGAGATGGAAGATAATTCAGCGACAAGCTGGCTGTATTAAAGTGAGATTATATACGGAGTAATCTTCCCTTTTTTTTATAACTAGCGACGCTCAGCGATAAACTGTATGAACTGTATAAAAATGTATGCAGTGCAGACTAAACACGATTTCGGCCTCAGACTCTCGATCTTTCGTTCATCCGGACTCCGAAACGGCCGACGAGTCGCGGCTTCGAGGACGAGTCGGGTTACAAGTTCACACGCTTTCCGGGTCGCGACCCACCGCATATACGCACACGCACGCACTAGCACAAATCCGTCGGCTTATCGCCGGGGATAAGTGGAAGCACGTGCTGGTTGCGCGGGGGTATCTACTGTTTGAATTGGACAGCCGCCCGCCCCGCGGCTCGTCTTCGCCCTTTCCCTCCTCGCTCCGATGAGCGTGTGTCGAACATTCGTTATTTTTGGGACGCGGGGCACGCGCGGCGTGGCGAAGGGAGGAAGTCGTATTTCTATCCTTCCAGTATCTGGCTCTATTATTAGTGAATGCTGGAGAGGCACGCTGGGTTTAACTGGGTTTCCGCCCGATTTTAAACACTGGCATATCCAACGGAGAGGCTCTCTCTTTCTCTCTTTTTCGCTATCGTTGTTTCTCTCCTCTTATCGTACGTTTTCAGAAAATATCGCGCGCTGACATGTTCCTCGCACGATGGTTTCATCCGGTTTATATACGACGGTCGTATCCGCGGATTTGTTCGCGGTCGCGCGTGCCTGTTTCATGCTGTTTCAATCTATCCGTGCATTACTTTTCGAATGTTATTAGTGAATACTATAGAGTATAGAGTACCCATGGCGTCGCGTGTTTATCGATATCGATAAATGCGAAGACATCGGAGACGTTAATTGTATCGGGAGGGTAAATGCAACTCCAATCTATCAAATGTCTCTTTAATGAACACAGGTGAAGACTGGATCGTTAATGTTACTGCTGTGTAAATTTTCCGTGAGGTTTCCTCGCTTCTCATTCCCCGATTGCGTAAGAGAATCGCCGTTTCACAAAACGAATTTACGACAACCGTGAAATTATCGAAGATTCTCTCACGTGGGTACTTTGGCATTTGTCACGGTCGGGACACGCTCGTCGCCGACTCTTTTAGCTCTATGAAATCGAGACGTCCTAGGTCAGGGACGCGTAACCTACGCATCCGGCTCAGACGTGTGCATTTTCGCTGTCGTTGAAAGGTATGCAGATTACGGCCGTCTGCGGACGGAAAATTACTAGTAATATTTATACGCGGCCGGAGAATGTGACGTTAAATTCATATGATTTCGAGCATGAGCGAAATGAGAGAGCCGCGAACGCGACCGTAAAGAAATTTCATAGAATTACGTAAACTGATGGCATAACGACACGCCGCGGAAAAGAAAACGCACGTAAACGCATGATACTCTTCTTTCTGCAAATGCAACCGTCAAAATACTAGCGATGGGATTAAGTGTTCTGTAAGTATTATAGATTCGAATCTGTTGGCGTAGTTTCAAACTCTTTATGGTTACGTCGGAAAATAAAAGCAGTACTTTTAGACCATGAATCTGAATGAAATGGGTTCGAAACTTCTATGAGTATTCTCGAAAAATAAGAGTATTAAATACTTCCAAGTGGACTCGAATCAGGCTTAAATATGTTGGAATTTTTATGAGTATTTTACTAGAAATTTTACGCTTCACATAAAAACGTTTGTATAAAGAGATAATTATTGTAATATATTATTTTTTTACAATTACGAATATTATATTATCAATCGTTGAAATTAAATATAGTAAAAATGCGATTAAAAATATAGAATAAAAGTTACTCAAATTTTTTACACATTACATTCTTTAAACTAACAATTTTATTCTTAAAGTTCGAGTACTACTTGTAAAAGATTCGATTCTTTCTTCTGAACGTGATCCTATTCGATGAAGCATTAAGGAAAACAGGGTAGATTAGATAAGATAAGAGAAAAAGTTTCCCAAAGAAATGCTGAAATTAAACAGCGTATCGTGGCGCTGAAAGAAATTCCCCAACAATTTCTACGATTTTCCTCGCGCAGTTTCATCGACCGGCGGCAAATTACGTATCGCGTACGTGAGACGTAAAGTTGATGCGACTAGACGACTCATGATGATGCGCGCGAAAGACCGGCGACAGAAGTGGCGATGACTGCAAGTGCGATGGGAGAAAAGAGCGCATCATCAGGTATGCGGCTGCCGTATGTCGGAGACACGTGCAAAGTGCAGGGTGGAAATAATCGTGCAACACCACCACGTCGGAAATAGAATGAACTGATCGCCAAAAAGTCACTCGTCTGCGTTATTACTTACTAGATAATATCTTCGTGAATAAATTTATCAATGCTTCATCAATGTTGAAAAAATTTCGATTCTTGAGCTCGCTCGAAGGAATTTATTTTCGAAGGATCGCGTTACTGTTACGACAAGGCGTGAGAAAATTCAAATGTTCAACGAACGTTCTCGGATCAGGTGCGATGCATCGAATCCTTCTCTTCCTTCTTACGACCCTGATCTCGAACGCGCTTAATCCGTCGTCTGAATTGATCCCGCATCCCGTATTCATTGCTTTCGTGAATACGAGACGGTGAACGCACACGTATACACGTATGTACGCGCATACGTCGCCCGTCCGGAGTGAGTA